GCCAGGTAAAACACAAGACCAAGCTGAGCTTCCCTTCTACGTAACCGGTCAGCAGTGGGATATGAAATGTGGCTCCAATACCGTAGGATTAGGAGTCCCTAGTACTTCACAGATACACAGATCTGCTAAGAGACCAAATGTCTCAATTCGCAGTTACTTTCATTTCTAGGTTAATAATTCAGTCTCTGTGCCCAAACCTGGGTGAGGCAGAGAAGGGGACCAAAGAACAAAAACAAACCAAAAAAACCCAGAGTGGCTTCTGCATGGAAAGAGGTTAAGATTTATTTGGAGAGAATAGCACTGAGCATACTAAGTACAGTTATTTATGATGCAGCAGTGATGGATGGTAGGATAGGAGGTTAAGGTAACAACTGCTACAGCCTTTCAGAGGGAGACATGAGCTGGGGCTGAAGCGAAGAGAAAGGGAGGAGGACCTGTCTTCTTCCTTCCCCGCAGTGTTCCACCTGCTCTCTGCCTGTTTATCTCTCTGTACGGCAAAGCCGACCTACTTTTCTGCAAGCATTCTGGGAAGACAGAGCAGACAGAAATGTGCCATGCAGCCTTGAAGGGGAATTCCTGGTATTATAATCACAAACGAAGGTCGAAGCCATCCATCGCCTACTGCAAAAGCCCCAACTCTACACCATGGAAAACCAGGTCCTTCAACTCCACAACCTGGGCAAGGAGTAATGTGGTGATCCTTGAATTATGTAACTTTCAAGGACAAGAAAACAAGGGCCAATATTACTTCTCAATAGCACAGGCTTGAAAGGCCTAACTCAGTTTTCGTACCTCCTACCCTGCTTCCCTTTTTAAGACTGGTACAATCCAAAGGTCCCATGAAATGTTTTTTAAATGTACAAAACATGTATTTCCATTTTTTAAAATTTTTGGCTGGATTTTTCAATATCTCAACTATAAAAGCGTCCACAGCACAGGTCCCTAGGGGTGATTTCCACTGCCACATACTTAAGATTGTATTGTTATTAGCACCTCAATATTTTTCAGAGAAAAGAACAGCAGACCTCACTGAAAAGTTATCTAAGGTGAACAGTGAAATGATTTGAGGAAAGACATACTGAAAGTCATTTGCAATGAAAATAAGCCCCCAAAGGGGTAGGGAGATCCTTTTAAAAGCACCCCAAAAATGATGAAAAGGCAGTGAAGGGATTTCTCCCACAGGCAGTAATCCACTGCTGAGATCTGTTGTCAGCAACAGCAGGGGCTTTCTGTCTCAGTGGATACCCCCCCAAACACAGAGGTACCACACTGGTTCTGAGAGGGTAGAGAGCCTTGTCCAAGCGTCACAGCTAGTCAGTGAGTGGCAGAGCTTAGACAGAACCAGGTCTCTTAAACCCAGGTTTGGGGCATATTTGATCTCCTGTAGTTCTTCAATTCAAACTTGAAACTCCCTTGTAAAAGGGAATTCAAAGGTACATGTAGAGAGATATTCCGGTCTTTAGAAGGCCCTAGACAAGGAACGTGTATTTTCAGGGAGCCAGTTGGGGTCCCTTTTAAAGCATGAGTCATTCTGCTTGGTGGTATTTGAACTGAAAGCTAAATGGTCTTAAACTGAAGGCATCACATCTGCATGGTAAAGGGCCATGAATCTGGATCCAGCACAGCATCAGGCACATAAAACACACTGGATTTAAAAAAATTTGTAAACAAAACATTGTGATTAACACTATCATTTCTGTTCCAAGATGATGCAACTGCACACACGCATAATTTTGGAGAACCCAAATCAGGACTTCTAAGATTTCAGGCAACAAAGAAGATCAATAGAGATATAAGTTTATACTCCCAAATGTTGGATAAAGAACAAAAATACAAACTATGCTTACAAACATCTTACAGAGAGGAAGGAAATGGCAGGTGAAGTATACATAAATCAAAGGGAAATAAAAAGCTGCCATTGGGGCTTTTAATCTTCTGGTTGTGCAATTCACTTCAGCTTGGTCAGAGCAACCCTCGTGCTACTCCCACTAGCTGAAAAATTTCTATTTAGCCAAACTCAGAATATCCAAGAGCCTGATTAGACTCTTCCAAGTACATAAATTAACACTGGCAATGCTACAAAAATAAAGCACCACCCACCCACTCATGCATGCACCCATCTTTTCAGCTATTACCCCAAGTCTAAACAGCCCAATCTTTACCATCACCAGTACCGCAAATATTGCCTGGAATGACAGGTTTTATGACCAATCTTTCACTTCCTTCATGAAGAATTTTCTCAGAAGTAATTTAAATCAAATGTGTACAGTTTTACCAAATTCACTATTTTTATGGTTCATCTGCCCAGGTGACTGTGAACATTTTAGGGTAGCACAGGGTTGCTCCTGTACTAGGTTGATGAAACCCCGAACTGGGGTTTTGACTGAACTTCAAGTCTAAGATCCTTCCATTGTATCACAGAAGATGGTCAGGGCAGTTAAGCCAACCTTCCTCCATACCTGGTCGCAGACCAACCCTGATACCTCGGGCAATGATCCTGCAGAGATGAGCCCAAGAGAATGGCTGTATCCAATCAAGCCATCCTCACTACTGGAAAAGCAAAGCAAGGAGCAGATCCCACTGCTGGCGGGGGACATGACTTTTATATCCTGAAAACAGCACTCTGGTCCACCAGCTCTGGAGATAGGCTCCTCCTCACTCTGAATTGCATCAATTTCAGGGCCCATGGGCCTGCTCAGTGTAGCCACAGCTCTCGGCTGCATAAAAGGTTATTTTGGTGTAATGGAAAGAATATACCCAACATTCTTGACAGCCCTATACTCTTGGGTTCATATTCTAGCTCTATAACTGACTCGCTCTCTGAACCTCAATTTCCTCAACGGAAAGTGGGGGTGATAACACCTCCTCTCCGAGTCATTGTAAGTAAGATAGCCGGTTCAGTGTTGGGCAAATAGTCAAAGCTCAACAAACGTTGGTGTACTTTCTACTAACATCTCTGCTCAGAGTACTTTCTTGTTTGTTCTCTGTATTTCCGGGTCAAAATCTACTTCTTATAAACCCCCAAAATAGCCTAACCAAGTACCAAGTATGATGCTACTACTGTCAAAATCATGTGTAGTGGGGGACAGGGCAGGGGACCTGATAATGTTTAAAATCCCATATTTAATCCTGGTACTCAAAGTGTGATCTACAGACCAGCAGCATCAGCATTACCTGGAAGTCTGTTTCAAAGGCAGACCCTCGGGCTCCATTCCATACCTACTGAATCCGAATTTATGAGATTCCCCAAGTGATAGGTTTACCTCTTAAAGTCTGAGAAACACTGTTCTATACCACAAATGGACATTCAATAAACAGAGCCTACTGACACTCTAAGGAATCAATTGTGGCACTGGGCTGTTGGTGGCATTCTATGAATGCTTATTCGGATAGAAAGCAACTACTGACAAAGGCATTTTCCCTGGAAGGACAGTGGAATGGACCCTTTGTGCCTTTTGAGTTAAAACAACAACAACAACAACAACAACAACAACAAAACCAATACACTAAGGACACTGGCTTTATGGCAATATTTAAATCTTCTACATTAATGCAATCTTTGTTATATAGTAAGTGCTCTGAATGTAATTAGTAATACGAGCATTCTGATTATATGTAGAGTCTAAATAACAGGAAGGATATTTTCAATGTAGTAATTTCTGGTTTCTAGGATGCAACACATAACAGATTGATTAGTAATAAGCTTCCACAAATGGAATGTTCTCAACACACGATGACAAAGTTCTAAAGCATGTCCTTCTGTGATTCTGAGCATGTGCCTTTCCTCCCCGACCCCATCAACCTTCTGAAACATTTTTCAGTTCTTTCCAGTTATATGTGAAAGTACAATTTTTAAATGCTCCTGAAAGTAAAATTTACAACCCAAATTCCTAAAATGAATCACCAAATGCTGGATCCAGGAGACTGGTAACTTTGTGTATCAGGAAACAAAAACCCCATCTGAGTGAGTCATCTCTGTGATCGGAGATAACACAGCCACCGCCAGAGCTTGGTGCAAACAAATGGCTGCAGCAATCACAGGCTGGCATCTCGTGCTTCATGGTTTCTCACATTGAAATGCATCCGTCAGCTCTGTGAAACCAGGAAGTGGAACCCAGGACACCACATAAATAACAAACATTCTCTTGAGTTTGGTGTATCTTAACGTTCTGCTCTAAGTCTATCTCAATTTCTGGTACCTAAATAAAAATGAAAGTGCTGCTTTATCGAGACGTACGCAGAAAGGCAAAAGCTAACTAATATGACTGGGCTTCTGAAACGTTCCCTAAGAAAATTTTTAAGACTTTTTGGAGGCCTATTTATTAAGGACTTTGATCCGAAAATGAAAAAGGTGATCAGAAGAAGCTGGCAAATACACCTCAAAAACTGTAACAGAGGAAGAGGCAATAGGCTCTGGAGCGGAAAAGTCTGTTACCATCTGATTCCATGTATAATTCCATGCTTCTTCTCAGGTGCTCCAGTCTTGAAAGAGAAGCTGAGTAGGAAGTGAACTTGTGCCACATATGGACAGCTAGGTGCTACCCCCTGCACCCACTAGCAAACTCCTCCAGAGAGAGGAGGCAAATGTCGTTTTCAACCGTAGGACAGGGGATATAATGCCACGACCAAGCCTGCCTCATGCGGGCTAGGCTCAACACAGGGATAATGCAAATACCCAGGCTATGTTTTTCAAAAGCAGGCAGCTCCTATCAACACCAGACATCCACTAGCAGGCAGAGTGCCAAGGGAACATTACTTAAACATTGGCTATGGCTATGGGCTTCTGCACCCACGATAGAAGCACTTTCCTCTGAAACACTGGAGACCAGTTGGGGGCAATGGCAATAGCCCCCAGGCCCCTGCTTTCACAGGACCCCTCCCAAAGTAAAAAAAAACAAGAAATAATAAAAAACCAACTATACTTTCTGAAATATGAACAAGTTAAAATACCCCATACTGCCCCCATGCCCACCCCATTATTTCCAAGAAGCACACACTACCTCATAATGAACGGAATGAAAGGCGCCATGCTGAGAGCAGAATAGGTGCCGTCCATCGGGGAAGGGTAGAGTCTTCCCAACACCAAAAGTAAGAGAAACATGCTTGGATGACGGTTGAGTTCTCCTGTATCACTGAAAAACAAGTGATTGTACATAAAAGATTTAAAATTTAAGAGGTGAGACATTACCTTCAAACATTTTTCTCATTAAATGATTATGAATATAAAGTGAGACTCTCTATGATCAGAAGATCATTTCCCTTTTTTCATTTTTTTCCCCTCCATTCATTTCATATATTCCTAATGTGCAAATAAGGAAGAGCTACTGGCAAAGCCGTGGATTGGGCTCCAGCACACGATTCTCTTCTCAAAGCTAACTGTTAATTCGTGTCTGTGTTTTGATTTGAGCTGTTCATACAGCAGAGGGGAGTTCCATGGTATGAAATGTGAAACTTTCAACAGCCAAATGCACTAATGAAAGCTTGAACGGTCACTTACTGGGGCCAGAAAAGCCTGTCTGTACAAATTACTAATGTGAGGAAATGTATCATGAACAGAAGTAAAATTCACTGATGTTATTTTACTTCCCCATTACAGATAATGAGTATAAATTCATATCAAGTGCAAATATGGCTAGAAGAATAAAAAAGCACATGTTCTAAGACACCATTCTAAAAATTCCGCTGTCGGTACAGGATGTCATTGAAAGGACAATGATAAACTTTTCTATGTGCCCTCATCAGACGGGAAGTCCTCTGAACGGCCTTATTTTCCGTGTCTAGGGTCAGGCATGCCAGTGCCATTTCTGGTCACAGGTGACCAGACCAGCCAGCCATCTGTTTACTCTCACAATGGTCAACTGCAACAGGCCAGTAAGAAAAAATGGCTGGTGTTAGTGACAGCAAACTCAGTCTGCAAACACAGAGATTTTTAAGTATCATGGGAAGAAAATCTTTTTAGAAGCTGTGTTTCTAAGAAGCTGGTTTCTGAAATATGTTCACTGAAAACAGAATTTGAAAAAACACTATAAAACAGGATTTTTAAAAATATAAAACATATTATAAAAACAGGATATTAGGGGCGCCTGGGTGGCTCAGTCAGTTAAGGGTCTGACTCCTGATTTCGGCTCAGGTCATGATCTCAGAGTCGTAAGCGCCCCATGGCTGGCTCTGTGCTGGGCTTGGAGCCTGCTTAAGATTCTCTCTCTCCCTCTCGCTCCCCCCAACTCTAAACAAAAACAAAACAGGATTTTATATAACTTTTCAGGTACAAATCTACTGTAGAGTCAGGCAACAGGATATAATAAAGAAGCACTTAAAAAAAAAAAATCCAGGGCGCCTGGGTGGCTCAGTTGGTTAAGTGACTGCCTTCGGCTCAGGTCATGATCCTGCAGTCCCGGGATCGAGTCCCACGTCGGGCTCCCTGCTCGGCAGGGAGTCTGCTTCTCCCTCTGACCCT